TACTGAAGCCCACTGCCCTAGAGCCCAAGAGAAGCCATTGCAATGAGAATCCCACTTAACTGCAACTAGAGAGTAACCCCGCTCGCTGCAACTAGAGAAAAGCTGCGCACAGCAAAGAAGACGTAGCACAGCCAATAACTAAATAAATCTTTAAAAAAGACCATTGACTTTTCTCCCTGGTAGAGAGGGGTTGATCCTTACAAAGGGTGGAAAAGAAGCCTAAGGCCCCTCCACACCCCGTGGTCTTAAAAGAGGCCCCTTGCCCCTGGAATGCCTCATTGCAGCTCCTCTCCCAACCTTGCCTCTGCCCTGGAAAGCCCTCACCAGCTCCCCCCGCAGCCCAGCAGACAAGCTGGCATTTTTTTCAAAGGCCGGTCCCTCCTGACAAAGAGAGAGCAGCAAGGAAACAATTATGGAAAATAGAAATGTCACAAAAACGGTTGCTTCCAAAGTCCAGGTCTCTGATCTGGCACCGTGGCCTACATGAACAGTGTATTGATTTTTTAAACAAAAGAGAAACGAGAAGAAAGATGTATCACTTGAGGCACTGCCGGGTAGACCGCTAAGTGGTTGCTGGAAGTCAACTGTGAGTGGATTGGCCCCATGACCTCCGCCTTGTCCCTGCCAGAGGCTCTCAGACCCTGTGAACCAGCCTGGGTTCCTGGGCCCTGGCCTCTGTTATTAGTGTGTGTGTCTTCGTCTCTCCTTCCTTCTCACCCGACACATTTCCCATGCCCTCCTATGCAACAGCCAGGCATGTATCAAATGGGCCTACCCTCCAGGATGCTCACGGTCCAGTAGGGAGGCAGACTGGTAAGGAAATGAGTGCATAAAAGCCAACTGGGGGACAATATGCGTTGACTTCACCTGGCAAACTGCCTGTCCACCCACATCTCCGTCCTCCCCAAACCTGTCTTTTGGCATGACCATATTTATTTGTGAAAAAAAAAAAAAAGATGAAACTCAGAAAAAAAATCACGTTTATGGTTCCCAGGGGCAGAGAACTGGTGGAAGAAAATACAGGATAAAGGTGGTCGAAAGGTACAAGCTTCCAGTTATAAGATAAATGCAAAACATGTAGTGTATAACAAAACCCATACACCACAATAGCAAATATCAAATTGTGGTATGGACCAAGGAACTGAATAGACATTTATCCAAAAAATATATACAAATGACCAATAAGTTCATGACATGTTATTCAACATTATAAAAAATATAATGAACAAGGTGACCAAAATTAGCGCAGCTGTAGAATATTACAAAAATTGTTAAGGGACTAAATCCTAAGAATATTCATCATCACAAGAAAAAAAATTTTTGGTAATCATTTCATAGTATATTTAAGTCATATCATCACACTGCACAGTTCAAACTTTGACATCCTAAAACAAGAAAAATATTTAAAAGGTAAAAATGCAAAGCATTCGAAGAGGACAGACCACTACTGTTTTACTTTTAAAATTATTTTATTAAATCTTAAATGCACAATAGCTTCTTAACTCTACACATGAAATACATGTCTTAAGAAGAACGATATTATGTCTTATTATCCCATGATTCTGGCTAACAGCTTTTCAAAACTTCGAGAAAAATCTTGAAAAAGGTTTCCTATGTCAACTGAAACTTGGAAATGGGATATTATCCAAGAAGGGATGATTCTACACTCTTCCAGAGACTGCTGGAAAGACAGAACATTTCAAAAGCTCAAAAACCATCGCAAAAGCAATTTTTAAAAAGTCTTCCCCCCGTAGGAAAATAGTGTTCCTACGTAACTGAGTCCACTCACAAAGTGGCTCTCGGTACTAGCTCTGGTGTCTTCTGCCGTGTCGCTGCATATTTAGGCGCGACTGAGTTGAGCGTTTCCTTCGCACTGTTGTTTTGATCATCTGAGGCTCTTCTCGCCCCTCTGGGCTCCTCTGCATGCAGTCAAGCCCACGGCCACTGAGAAGGCCCCCACCGTCTCGCCTCTCCATAACCCCCACGTCCTCCACCGCCTCCTGGGTCGTGGTCTCCTCCAGTATATGACCCGCCCATGTTTCTGCTGTCTCTCAACTTTCCACTCTTCAGTAAATCGTATTTAGAAGGTTTCTGCTTCTGATTGCCCAAATCACTGTCATTGCGACTTGCATAACTTCTTCCTCCGTAGTTGTCATAACGGGCTCTGAAGCACTCATCCTGGTAGCCGTCTGCAGATCCTCCACCACTGCATCCTCCTCGTCCTGCCCCATAACCAGGCCTAACCCCCCAACTGCCACCTCCAGCTCTTCCTCCATACCTGTGAGAGCCATCCCCAAACTGACACCCTCTTCCAGAACCCACGGATCCTCCTCTGAAGTTCCTTCTTCATCCTGCTCCCACATTTGCACCAACACCATGAAAATACCCCAAACCAACATTGCTTCCTCCTCGATTTCTCAAATGTTGGCCTTCTTGCATCTCTTGCCTAGACAAGGCCTTTCTTACTTCTGCACGATGACCGTTGATGGTATGATTTTTCTGCAGCACGATTTTATCGACGGGATCGTGGTCATCAAAAGTAATAAATCCGAAGCCCCTTTTCTTGCCAGACTGTCCATCAGTAACTATCTCAATGGGGTTGATTTTTCCGTACTTCTCAAAGTAATCTCGAGAATGGTGTTCCTTCGTGTCTTCTGTAATTCCGCCAACGAACAGCTTCTTCACAGTGACGAGAGCCCCCAGCTTTCCATGGTCCTTCTTGGGACAGCGCGCTTGGGCGTAACCATTTTCCCATCAATGAAATGAGGTCTGGCTGCCATGGCGGCATCCAGCTCAGCCATGGATGAAAACGTGATGAAACCAAATCTTCTTGATTTTTGTCTGGCAGGGTCCCTTATTAACACACAGTCTGTAAGATATCCCCACTGCCGGTAATAGTTCCACAGACTCTCTTCTGTGGTCTCAGAGCTCAAGTCACTGACAAAGAGTTTACGGAATTGTTCGTTTTCTCTCTTATTCCTCTCCAAAGGAACAGATTGTGAAGCTTTCTTCATCACGGGCTTACTAGCTTCAGCCATATTTCTGATGCTGAGGAGGGTGAGAGAGATCTCAGGGGGCTAACAGGGACTGAACTGGGTCCCCATGCTATGATGAGAACGTGAACCTGACCTGTCCTGACCTTGGGATGAGAGCCTCCACTGCCTCAAGGGAAACACCCCTAGGAGCGCTTCCACGGAAACCCAACACTGCCGCTGCTACCTCTGGGGTCACTGTGGCCCTTGAATCAACCTTGAGTAGCTTTCAGTTTTTCAGAATAGGTTGACTGGTGAAACAGGTCGATGCAGGTTCACCCAGTTCCAAGAGCTCCTCTGTGACCCACTCCTGAGATGTAGGACAGCCTGGGGCTTGCTGCAAATAGTAGTCTTCTCAGACTTCTATAACAGGTCTGAGTCCAGAGATCTGCTTTTTGTTTTGTAAATAAATCCGCAGGTAATTTTGTTGCACCCCCAGATTCGGAAACCTGGGCTCTAACAAGTCACAAGTCTGCGGTCCAAGTCGGTGGAGGGCGCCGTGGGGACACGAAGGGAAGAATCAGAGAAGGCTTCATGGAGGAGGTGATCTTGGTGTTGATTCCTGACGGCTGAGTGTGTATTGTCTAAGTGGACTGTGTGAGTGGGGCAGGAACTCTACAGAATGCAGGAACATCAGGGTAAAGCTCTGGAGGTGAGAGACGGCAGCTTTCAGGAACAAAGAGCCAAAGTGGATGGAGGTGGGTGGAAAGCTGGGCTCTCGCCTCTGCTGTTACGGCTCATCTTGAACCTCTGTGAGCTCCACAGGGCCTTGCAGAACCAAGCTGAGACCCCAGCCGGGCTGTGGGGGCTCTCCCTGGCCTGAGTGAGCCTCGGGCCTCACTGGACTCTGAGGCCCGAGCTGCAATCTGGGCAGGAAAGTTACACTTTTTGCCTTTTTGAACCTGAGCTGTCAACCCCTTGTTGTGGTCGGCACAGTGAAAGTGCAGCAGTTTACGGCCAGCTTCCTGGTTCTCCAACAAGATGACCCAGCTGGGCCCACCAACAGGAATCTCACAGTGAAGCCCAGATGGCTTATGGGAAGCCATGGTTTTGGATGATCTCCTGAGGGCCCCCAGAGTCTCAGTTATTCGGGGGAAATTAGACTCCAAGAGTCAGATCCTCTCTCACCCTTCCATGCCCATCTAGAACATAGTTATGAATGTTAAATGATTTAATAGGTGGGTTAGCGTCATGCCTGGTGCATAGTAAGTGTTCAATAAATGTTAGCTATTACGATTTTCTTTACTCATTCACTTGCTCTGCTTTTAGTCATTCATTAACCCACTATTCATTCATGCATTCACACCAATTCATTCATTAATTCAGCACAAATTCATTGCACATCTTGTCTGTGTCTGTGCTGGGCCCACCTGAGCCCCAAACCCCTCTTGTGAAGGGTGCTCCAGAAATTCGACAGGGATCAACATAGTTTGGGAATTCAAACACATTCCCATTCACCTGTGAGCATGGATATCTTTAAGACATCAGTGCCTCTCACATGAACAAGTGACCGCAGACACCCCCTTGGGAACCCCTTGCGGCTTTTCAGCTACATTTGAGCAGCTCTTTCCCAAATGGCCGAACGGTGCCGAGCATCTCAACCTTGTCACCGAGCTTTACTGATGCCTGAATCTGGAGGCCACAGATGGCTGTGACAGGTGCAAAGTGGAAGATGAAGGGAATCGCTTTTTAGGGAATTGGCAGTGAGGATTCAGAGTCGCTCATAGCTGTTGATTTAGTTATTTATTTATGTGCCTCCTGCCTCTTCCTGGACTTGGAAAACACTCACGGCAGTAGCGGAGGAGGAAGGAGAGAACTCAGGGCAGGAGGGCAGGGTGGGCTTCCTGGAGGAGGCAGCGTCCGTCTTTGGCAAGAGCGGCCTGAGCATGGATGCAGCACAACGGCTTCTCGCGGGGAAGCTGAGGGGAGATGGGGCGGCCCCCGGGGACCGGAGCAGACCTGCCCACCCTAGTCAGGGAAGAGCAGGAAGCCGGAGAAGACGCTGTCAGAGCCTTCCGTGCCCACCATGCCGTTATAGTCGTTGACCGCCAGCCACACCTGCTGGCCCTCCTGCATCCGCAGCAGCACGCCGCCCGAGCTGACCTGCTTGCTGCTGGTCATGTGGTCGCAGAAGGTGGCCACCTTGAAGCCGCTGCGGAACAGCAGCACGCACAGGTTGGAGGTGTGCGACGTGTGGAAGACGAAGTAGTAGAGGCCCGGGACTTTGCAGGTGAACTTGCCAGTGTCCCTGTCGTAATGCCCCTGCGGGTTGGTGATGACCTCGTTGAACTTGACCAGGCCATTGGCCGCCGGGAACTGGACAGTCTGCCGCGTGACCGAGAAAACGGACTGGTGCTTCTGCTTGTACCTGCCCTCCACACCCGGCTCCCCGGGGGGGCCCATGGTGCCGGGAGCCCCCGGAATCCCCGGGGTCCCCATGGGGCCATTTTTCCCAGGATAGCCAGGCGTGCCGGGGTCTCCCTTCTGGCCCTTGGGTCCTCGGGTCCCAGGGGTAGCTGGGATTCCTGGGGAGAGAGCAGGTGGGAAGGCAGTGATGAGGCAGGGGGTGGGAAGAGGGACTTGGTGGGCCTCCAGGGGCCACCCACCAGGGTTGGTCCCTGGACTCTCCTTCCCCCAGATGGCGGCCTATCCACCTGGGAGCAGTGTGCAGGGAGCAGGAGGGGAGGGAGACCGTGGTTCAAATCCTGCCTCCCCTTGGTCTTGCCCTCTGACCTTGGCTGAGTCTTGGCCCTAACTCTCCGCCTCGGTTCCCACATTTGTGATGGAGAGGGTAGGACCGGGCAGCTCAGGAGGGGTCAGAGCCGGGCTGGATCTCAGAGAATGTGCCGGAGGCCATGACTGTTAGCCCATGTTCAACACGTGGCCTCAGATACCTCCTCACCTAAAAGTCTACGTTCCTACTTTTTCTTGACAAAAAATCAGAAGATGGGTCAGAGGCAGATTTTCTGGAAAGCTCCTAAAACTTAAACTTTAGGCTTCATTAACTTGCACTAACCCCGTCAAGGTCCTTTGGGTAATTTTATAAGTTTTTCAATTTTTTGTGTTGAAATAATTACAAATTCACAGGAAGTTGCCAAAAACAAAAAGGAAGTCTTGTGTATTCTTTACCTAGTTTTCCCCAATCTTGCAGAACTAAAGTATGGAATCAAAATCAAGAAATTGACCACAGCTCCTCTTTTACATGCACTGTGTGTGTGTGCAGTTCTAACACAATTTTGTAGTGTGTGGAGGTTTGTGTAACTCCCCCCCACACACACACACATCAAATGTATCCCTAATTTTGTACTATTTTTCTTATAGAGGGGCCTCAGTATTTTATAAGATTCAGAGCTCCACAAAACTGGTTTCTATGTCTGAGCTGGAACCACTCAGGCCAGCTTAGCACATGGGGTCCAGCAGATGGAGCCTTCCAGGCTGCCTCTCTCCAGCCCTTCCACCCCCTTTCAGCCTAATTCAGACCCTCTGACAGCTGGCCCAGCTCAATTTCCTTCAAGGTACGGATGCGGAAAGTGAGGCCAGAAGCCTGCCCAAGGCCATGCCACCGGTAGGAGGTGGAGTCAGGACTCAGAAAGTCAAGTCTGTCTGCGTCCCACTCCGAGTGTCTGACGCTTGTGGCCGCCCTGGTTATTGGAGCTTCCGTGGGCTTCTTCTCCCCTTGTCCAAACCATTCTCATCTTTCAGGGCCTGACTGCAGTCTCTTCTTCCAGGAAGCCCTCTCTGACCACCCCTGCTGGCCCTCATGGCTGTTTCCTCCTCTGACTGCCTTTACGGTGGTGGTCGGTGGAGACAGGCTAACAGAATTCTCTGCAACTGGTGAGCTGCGTAGATCCCAGGTTAGGAGGAGAGAATCAGAACCCAGTGGACCCAGGCCTCAGGCTGTGTGATCCCAGTCAGGTGACCTCCCCTCCCAGAGACTCTGTTCGCCCAGGTGAGATAAAGCCATGATGGAAGGGATCCCCCAGAGTGGCTAGCCGAGTGGGGTGGGAGCATGCGTGTGCTGGACACCTCATAGGTAGTGCTCAGTAATGTCAGAACTCGGGGGGTGGCCATCAGCGATGCTGGGCAAGGCTGTGCCTCTTCTTCAGGCAGTGGGGGCAGACACACCCATGGGGAGGGGGGCCTGAGAGGCAGCGGACGATCGTGGTGGAGGGTGTGGCCTCGGGAATCCACAGGATCCCAGTGTGTGACTCTGGGCCAGTGGCTCAATCTCCCAGAACCTCAACTTCAACATTTGTACAAAGGGGGTAAATCACATCTTCAAAGGATTTTGGCCTCAGCTTTCTCATTTATAAAATAGAGTTCGTTTCTTCTGCCCCGAGAGATGAATCTATGGAGAGCACTTGGAACCTGTGTCTGGCACAAATTAGGAGCTCAACACTTGGTGACCATCAACCACTCTGGGCAGTGAGATAGCCAGAGGCAGCTGTGAAGTTCAGGGTCCTGGAAAAATGGCAGATCTGGGGGCTTCCTTTGACTCAGCCTGAGTTGGAGGATTCCTTCTGGAATGTTGGTGTGATTCCACTCTCTTTCCAGGAGGGCAGGTGATGGTGGGAAATTCCTAAGGACATCCATCTCCACTGGTCTTCCTCGCCCAATGCCTCTGCCACCCCTGACTCCTCTGCTCAGCCCTGCCCCAGCCTCCTTCACACCCACTCTGCCCACACTCCACCCCCCTCCAGATGTGTGCCCACCGCCAGACAAAGTGCCCCCAGACTCCAGCTCTCACCCAGCACCCAGCGCCCATTCATGTCCTCAGCCCTCTTCACTCATGCTGGGGCTTGCCTGCGAATCTCCAACAGATGATTCTGTGACTGCGACCCTGACTCCTCACTCCCCACCCCTCCAATTACCCAGAACCCCAGGGAGGCAGGGGAGCACACAGCCCTGATAGACAAGGATGACAAGGGCAGCACCGACCAGAGTCTGCACTTACAGATAACTTCCACATGCTGTTTTCTATTTAATCTTATTAATCATCACAGCACGCCTGTGCAACAAGTGCTACCATCTCCCCATTGTACAGATGAGGAAACTGAGGCACTGGAGGCTTTTTAAGTTGGGCAAGTATACACAGTGGGTGGGGGAGCGGGGAAGCGGTGGGGCTGGGACTTGAACCCTGACCATCTGGGCTACAATCACTGGGGTCCACGTTAGAGGGCAAGTTGTGGAAGGGATGGAATAAAACAGTAGCAGAGTGTTTTAGAAGTTCGCCAAAACTTTCGCCTGGGTTATCTCCTGTGACCCTCCCTGCCACCTTCTCGGACAGGTGCTCTAGGTCTCTCCTTGGTATCATATGGGAAATCTGAGGGGCAAAGAGGTGAATTAGGGACACCTGAGTCCTGGGCTCTGAGGGGAGAGGGGCCCAGAACTGCCACAAGAGTTAAAGCTCGGCCGCAGGAGTGGGTGTGGCCAGAGACCACCCTCCTCGCCATCAAGCCACTGAACACCTTCCTCCGAGTTGGTCCCGGATGGACAGTCCCCCCAGGCCCCAGGTGGCCTCTCCCCGCCAGGCTGGCAGACTCACCTGGTTCGCCCTTGGGCCCTGGCAGCCCGTCATACCCGTCCTTCCCGGGGGCCCCGGGCAGGCCCGGCATCCCAGGGATTCCATAGCAGTGTGTGCCTGTCTGGGCCCTGAGCGGCTGTGCCAGCAGGAGCAGCAGCAGGTTTAGTACCAGGAGGCGCCAGGCGCCGGACCCCATGTCCACCTGGGGAGGGAGCTGATGGGGAGAGAGCTGAGTTGGCCCCTGGCCCACCCTCCTCACCCTGGCCGACCTCCCTTCTCCGGCCCCTCGCCCCTGGGGGCCGCCTGATGGATGGGGAGTGGGGTCCCTGCTTCAAGCTCAGGACCCCGGCTCAGCAGAGACAGGGACCCTCCTTCCTGTCCCAAGTCAGGCTGCCTCTGAGGCCATGTGTCAGGAAGCAGTGGCCGGGAAAAGCTGCCACCTGCCCTCACCTGGACGGGTGGGAGGTGTCCGGTCTGGTCACGGAGAGGTCCTCGGACCGGCTTCCCCTCTCCAAGGCAGGCGTACGCCGTGTCCGAGTGGACCCAGCCAGGAGGACCCGGAGCGGACTGGGCGGCCCCCTCCCACCTCCCCCCAGAACCACATCCCCTTTCCCATAATTTTTCCTGACTCAGTACTTTATTCTGGGTGCTGAGCTGGGCTGACCGCGGTGATACCCCTGTGTGCCCGCTGGGTCATGAGTGTCTGAAATGAGGAAATGGCCACTTCCTTGGGTCTGGTAAAAGATGTGTGTGTGTCAGTGTGTGTATGAACCTCAGCTGCCTGGGCAGACTTCTAGAGTTGAGTTCAGCCTAGCGAATACCCATCCCTGTTTGTTGCCATTTACTGTGCCTGAGACAGCTATTTCACAAGATCCACAGGAGGAAGTTATAACCCTCCTCTTTGCAGATGAGGAAACTGAGGCTGAGGAAAGTAAAACCCTTGTCCAAAGCTGCCCAAGTGAGTGGTTTCTTGGGTCCAAAGCCTTGCTCTGACCGCTTCATAGCTGCGCCCAGAGACAAGTCTTGTATGCATTTGTCAAATGGCAGGTGTTATTTTAGAAACGTCCATACTGTGCGTGCTAAGCTGCTTCAGTTGTGTCCGACTCTGCAACCCTATGACTGTAGCCCACCAGGCTCCTCTGTCCATGAGGAGTCTCCAGGCAGGAATACTGGATTGGGTTGCCACACCCTCCCGACCCAGGGATTGGACCCACGTCCCTTATGTTTCTTGCATTGGCAGGTAGGTTCTTTACCACGAGTGCCATCTGGGAAGCCCAACCTTCCATATGCCCCCCCATTTGTCCTACTTGGGGGTGCACTCAGTGAGGGCAAGCTTTGAGAGCAGGCAGCCTGCTGTGGTGGACAGACTCCTCTGGGGTCTCCTTTCAGCGCTGCCGCTCCCTTGCCTGGAGGCCTTCAGCAAAGCCCTGGTGTCCCTAGGCCTCAGCCTTCCCATCTGTATATTGGGGGTGGGGTGGGGGAGGGAAGACCGGGCTTTTGGTGTTGGCATTTCTTCCTCTGCTGGGGCCCCGGGTGAACCTACCTTCCGTGCCAGCTCCACCTTCCTCACCTCCATCCCCAGCACCCCACATCTGCTCTCAGAGCCCATTAAGGCTGGCGAGGGGTTGCCAGTCGGGGCCAGGCTGGCAGAGCTGAGAGAGGTCCATTCTCCCCTTCTCCTCATGAGAAGTTTCAGGAAAGAAGGAGGTAACGGGCAGTGGAGTGTTCCAGCCCTGACTCTGCGCCTGCCATTCATGTAAGTAAGTGGTTTGACCGCCCCAAGCATCGATTTCTGCTCTGAAAGTGGGGTTTCCAGGAGCCTCCATGCAGGGCAGGGCTAATGCCCACGCCGTGCCCAGCCCCGTGCGAGTCATGCGCTGAGTTCGGAAGGCCGCCCCTGCCTCGGTCAGGGCCCGTCTCCCCAGCTGGCCCTCCGCCCCGTGGCTCTGGGCTGCAGAGTGTGGAGCAAGAGCGAGACTGTGAGTGCACTTGGCCCTGGAATTTTCAGGTGGGTGCAGGGCTGGGGAGAGCAGAGAGGCCGGCCGTGGCATCAGGAGGGCGTGGGACCCGCCGGAGGGCGCCCAGGCCCCCCGCCCGTCTTCGGCCGTCACCTGCTTTGCGCCTGGTCTGGCTTGTCCGGCAGGTGGCAGCCTCTGCCCGCGCGCGGCTCTCCCTCGCCCCTCCCGCCCGGCCAGCTGGACGCTGCTGGGTCCCCTCCTCTCCGAGGGGCCGTGATCTGCCTCGGCAAAGAGGGGTGGGTGTGGATGGAATTTAGGATACAAGGCAGCGGCGTGCCCCCGCCCCCGCACCCATCATTTCTACAGCCGGGTCTCTAGCTTCTTGTGGGACCTCCACCCCGAGGGTGTCTGGGAGCCCCATTGTGATGAGCAGCCCTCCAGTCTGGAGTCAGGCAGAGTTCAAAGCCAGGACCTACCGCTTTCTGCCACTGGGCCTTGTGTAGACGCCTCGGTTCTCTGAGCCTCGGGGTCCTCATTGTTTTGTTGGGATTAAACGCATTGATGGTTATGAAGTGTCCAGCTCACAGCAGGGCCTCACAGATCCTTTTCGCTTCCTGGTCCATGTGCATGTATGTGTGTGCCAGGCCGGCCGGGGGGGAAACCAGGGCAGAGTGGAGGCCAAAGCGGGGCTGGAGAGTCTCCGCAGCCCCACTCTCTTCTTCCTGATCCCACAAGACTGTCGATGGGGCCAGACTCCCAGAGGGTCCCAATGTGTGGGGAAGGAGGGTGGGGGGAGGCTGTCGGTATGTGAGGACCCCAAGGTCAACGCTCGAGAGAACAAGGGCATTTCCAAGGTGCGTGCACGTGGGAGGGTGAGGCGTGAGTGTGCACCTGTGTGTCAGGGCTACGTCTGGGACATGTGTGTGTGAGAGCACTACTGATGGTTGTGGGGAATCGGAGGTGGGGGTGTGCAGGTATGACCGTGTGTATCCCTTAGTGTGTCTGTGCGTTTGAAGGCACAAGCAGTGTGTCCAGGGGTGTGCCCTGCGGGTCTCAGGGAGTGGGTCTGTGGGTGAGGAGTGAATGAGTCTTGGTCCAGGAAGTGTGTGAGTGTGTGATATGTATTCTTGTGTGTGTGTGTTTACATGTGAGTATGAGCAGCACAAAGGTAAAGTTGGCTTCCTTGGGCAGAAAGCATGGGGCATGTCCAGGACTGGACTTCTGGTCTCCTTACCCTTCTCACACACAGGGGACATAGTGGAGCTTTTGCTTCTCAGCAGCACCCGGACAGGCAAAGTGGGACCCTGGGAATGGACCAGGAACATTCCAAATCCTCCAAGGCCCCAGTGCAAGCGGGATGCATGCCCACCCTCCACGCCTGCCAGGGTAGAAGTCCAGAGCTGGACTCAGGACACTTGGCAGGGAGGACCTCTGGATGCCCTTGGGTCAAGTGCTCCCTCTCTCTGAGCCCCTGCCTTTCTGGTTCAGCCTTGGAAGCGACATGTGCCACGTGTCAGGTGTGTGGCTGTGGAGGCTGGTGAGGGGAGCAGGTGAACACGCAGACTTGGGTATTAGCAGGACCTGGGATCAACCCCACCCCTTCCCCTTACATGCTGCTGCTTCTGCTAAGTCGCTTCAGTCGTGTCCGACTCTGTGCAGCCTCACAGATGGCAGCCCACCAGGCTCCTCCATCCCTGGGATTCTCCAGGCAAGAATACTGGAGCGGGTTGCCATGCCCTTCTCTGCCTTACATGCTAACCTTGGGCTTTAAGTTCTCCTTAACACTCACTCAGTTTCATTATCTGTAAAATGGGGTCAGTCATAATACCCAACTCAAAGTTCACCTGTAAAGACTAAACAAAATACAATAAAGGCTAAACTGTATGTGTGTGGGCTTAGTCACTCAGTCGCATCTGACTCTTTGCGACCCCATGGACTGTAGCCCGCCAGGCTCCTCTGTTCATGGGGATTCTCCAGGCAAGAATACTGGAATGGGTTGCCATGCCCTCCCCCAGGGGATCATCCCAAACCAGGGATCAAAACCAGGTCTCCCACACTGCAGGCACCTTCTTTACAGTCTGTGCCATCTGAGAAGCCCCTTATTAATGCCCCAGGAACTCCTCTGCAATTTTCATATATCAAGTCATTTAATCCTCTGAACAACACATTGAGGTGGGTGCTGTCACTATTCCCACTTTACAGATCAGGAAACTGAGACTCACCAAAGCAACATAAATTGCACATAATTGGATTTAGGCAAATGGTGGCCCAGGATTCAAGCCCAGACTGATGAGGCTCCCAGGACCTGCTAAATACATGCTGTAAAATGCTAAATACGGGCCTGCCTTGTAAGCACTTAAATAACTGTTCTCATTTTTCAGCGTCCCTCCCAATGCCCAAGGTAGTCAGTGCACTTCAGGCTCAGCAGATGTGGATTCAGATATTTATTCCAGGAAGAGTTCTAAGACATGATCTCCATTCAGGCAGCTAAAGCAACAGAATACCCACTCGATAGGGCAGAGCAGAGATGGCCAGAGAGCTGGAGTGAGTGGCCCAGGGTCACACAGCCGGATGCAGTGGCCACGGTGGGGAGCAGGGGCGGGGGTCTTCCCTGCTCAAGTGGATGGGAAGATGAGGAAGCCACTGAAGATGCTATCGGCCTCTGGGCCGTGGTAAATGCGGCCCTTACTGGCATCTTTTTCAATCCAGACCTGGTCTCCCTGCTGGAGATGCAGCACCGTGCTTCCAGACACCACCTGCAAGAGTCCCTTACTGTTGAAGTCACAGAAGCCCAAGGGCTGGATCTGGCCCCTCCGAGAAGACCTGATGGACAGGCAGAGGTCCCACTTGGACACCACCTGGAAGGTGAAATAGTAGTAGCCTGGGACAGAGCAGTGGAACCTGCCCGTGTTGTTCTGGTACACATTCTCCTGGTTGGTGATGACCTCTCCGAAGATGACCACGTTGTCTCTCGTCAGAGGGTTCGGTCTCACGGCCGAGAAGGCTGGCCGCGGCTGGTCCTTGATGTTTCCGGGGTTCCCTTTGGTGCCCTTCAACCCCGGGAGGCCAGGGGACCCCATGGGACCAGCGGGTCCTGGGTAGCCCATTCTGCCTGGATTTCCAGGTGGTCCAGGGTTGCCCTGGTCTCCTTTAAGGCCACGGATGCCCGTCTGGATGGCAGGGGCCCCTGTGGGGAGAAAGGTTAGGTTGGGACTGAGAGTCTGATATCCTCCAGACCTCAGGGAGGTGGCTGGGGCCCCAAATAGCTGTGGGATAAGAGGGTAGGGGAGTGTCTGGGCCTGATTGATTCTGACTGGTTCTGTGTGACCTTGGACAAGTGTCTCAACCTCTCTGAGCCCCAGCTTGTTTATCTGTACAATGAAGAGAAATTGAACAGACACTTGGGGAAGGATCAGGTTCTGGGAAAAGGCAGTCCACTGGCTTCACTGCACTCCTGCCCACAGCTGGGCACGCCACACCTCCCCCTGTCCCCGACCAGGCCATTGACCTCGACTTCTTCAGATGCAGGGGCTACCTGTAGGATGCCTGGGTGCAGATCATTGCAAATGCCTGTGCAGACCTTTCTGGTGGTCTATGGACTGGGAGTCTCAGGGTGATTACAAGACCATCTTTTCTGGCTCTGGTCTTGCCCTCCTCCCTCTTCCTTCACCCTTGGCCTTTTTTCTCAAATATGAGAGTTTCTGAAGCTTGAAGGGGCAGGGAAGGGGGAAGCAGGGACAGGCTTGCAGGGAAGCTGGAAGCAAAAACGACAGATGTTATGGATTGATCCCTCTCCACATGCTAGGTGGGGTCTTTCTCCCTTTTACAGATGAGGCAACTGAGGCTCAGAGAGGGTGAGTAACTCACTCAAGGTCACACAGCAAGACAAGGGCTCTCAAATCTAAAGACTAGGGCATTCGTCTTTCTGGTGATTGTACAAAGACCAAGGCTGGGCACAGCTTTAGGACCTTTCATAGGCCTTGCTTGAAGTGGCCTACTCTCCAGAGGAGGACGGCAAGGCCAAAGAAAGAGGATGTGGCGGTTAAGGGGGATATAGAGAGGCCCTGGGGGGCTGTGTACATGGCCTTGAGAGAAGGCTAGGCCCTGGGACCAAGCACAGACTGCAGGGGCTTCATGTGGGGGCCCAGGTGGACGCCTCTGTTTCTCACTGCCACCCTGAGCCACCACCTCCAGGAGGCCAGCCCAGGCCCAAGGATGAGGGGCTGGGGTCCTGAGGGAGGGCTTACCCGGCTCCCCTCGCTCCCCCTTGAGGCCTGGCCGTCCGGGTCGGCCAGGTATTCCTGCATTCCCGTCAATCCCGTCCGGGGCTCGGCACACGTCCTGGGTCATGGAGGAGGCCAGGGAGATGGCCAGCACGCTGATCACCAGCCAGCCCCGGGGGGCTTCCATGGTCCCGCTGTGGAGACCAGAGCAGGGCCTGGGCAGGCTGGACATCACACACTTGTTCACACCCAGCTCACACACTTGAACCACGCCCCCCCCCCCATGATATCTATATATGTCCCTGACCATTGCACACATATCCTACCCAGGGCCTTTGAAGTCCACTCTCTACCCAGCTCCAAGGACCCCCCTAGCATACACACAGATCCACAAACTCACACAGATTGACACACACAACTGAACATACCCATAGGGTTACACACTCAGACACATGAACACAGCTTCTAGCCCTCAGACACCTACACAACACAATAAGCAAACTTAAAAGTCCACCACACAACCCTGGACACTCCGACTGACACACTCCATCCCTCACTTACCTGGACACACACAGTCATATACTCCCTACAGATGATCGGTTCCTTTGAATAAATATTTATTGAGTGCCCGCTCCCTGTTTAATTAACACTCTCTCACCCAGATGGCAGAGTTGCACATCCACACTGGAATTCACAAACAGCTGACACACACATCTGCTCCCTCCTCCCCACACGTGGAACCTCTTAGCACCCACTGGAAGACAGACAGCTGACTGTCACCTCCTGGGTCCCTCTGTGGGACCCCTCTGTTGGGCTCTGACACCCCAGCCTTTTCCCAGCCAGGATCCAGGAATTCTGGTTAGAGCTGATGGCTCTGTGGCTACCTCCCAGCCTCCCCCCAAGACTCTGGAGTCAAGGTCCCCCCATTTACTTGTTCTGGGTCCTGGACCGGTGCCCCCCAGCCCTGTCCTGGCACAGAACCAGGTAGCAGCACTCTCCCTCCCTCCCTGCCCGGTCCAGTCTCCTGAGCCACCTCCCCTGGCTCGCTAAACGTCACAGCCCCCTTCCCCATCCAGCGGTGGCCTCACCTGCGTCCAGTCTTCAGCGCACTGGATACTCTGGTCCTTCACGCGGGGACCCCTGTGGGACACCCAGCAGGGCGGTGCTGGCCCGGGGCCAAGTTTCACATCCCTTCCCACTTCTCCTTCTCCTTCCCTGGATCCGCCCCAGAGGCCAGAGGCCAGCAAGGGACATTTTGAGCAGACCTCAGCAAGACTGCAACATGGGACATCCTAGCCCAACCACACTGGCGCAAGCGCAGGGACAGTAAGGTGGGAGGCTGCTGGGATGGGAGCAGGGGAGGGGGTCCTGGCGGGGCAGTGAGACTCCCGAGACACGGAGCAGCAGGGTAGAAGGAACCTTCTCTCAAATCAGTGACTTGTAAGACTTTTTCACGATCGCGGAAGCAGCATGCATTCATTGCCAAAAGCTTGGTAATACAGAAAAGCGTGAAGAGACAAGAACTGTGACGCAGTCGTGAGAGGCTTGGTCACCAGCTTTCTAGACTGCCACTTCCTCGCCGCATGTCCTTGGGACTGTGCTTGACTTCCTGGGGCCTCAGTCTGGTTTTGGTTGTTGTTCATAAGTTGGAAACCACAGATTCTACTTTGTTGAAAAGTCTAGTTTTAGAGACATAATGCACATACAAAACTCTGGACACTTAATAATCAGCTTGTATCAACATTTAAAAATGAAAAAATGAAAATCAGCAATAAATGCCCACCTAGAGAATGGCTGTCAGCATTTGGAGGGGTCGCCCAGCCTTGCTCATGGTCACTGACGGGGGGCTCACTACCTGTCAACACAGCTCCCTTTGTTGTTGCCAGCCTGAGAACGCTCTTCTTTAGACTGGGTGATTCTGTCTCCCCCAGATCGGAGGCCAGAGTGTTCAGGCCTGGCTGACCACGTCTTTCTGCTTCTCCCCATGGCCATGTTTTGTCCTTGCTGTCTTTGCTTTGTCTCATTTTCCAGAGGGAGGAGGAGAGGAAGAGGAGAAGAGGGAGGGTTGTTGCACCCGGGCAGGTGAAGGCAGTCTAGGACCAGGGTTTTCAAGACTCTGAGACTCCCTTTTTCTTGCAATCTTGTGTGACAGACGATGTGCATACACGTACAGGTGGGGATGCGCTGGCTTAAGGGTGGGGACCCAGAGCTCATACTGCCAGCCGCTTTCCTACTCGTCAGGATCCAGGGGCTCAAAGGAGCTAGCACCTCTCTATGAGCTTGGGCAAGCCACATCACTTCTCTGGACCTTGAGCTTCTTTACCTGTAAAATGGGGATGATACAGTCCCTTTGGTGGGCTGCCAAGGGATTATACGAATATATAAGGAAGTTTAGGTTTCCTAGGTGGTGCTAGTGGTAAAGAACCTGCCTACCAACGTAGGAGACATAAAAGATGAGGGTTCAATCCCTGGGTCGGGAAGATCTCCTGGAGGAGAGCATGGCAACCCACTCCAGTATTCTTGCCTGAAAAATCGCATGGACAGTGGAGCCTGGCAGGCTGCAGTCCATAGGATCAGAATGAGCTGGACATGACCAAAGTGACTTAGCATGCATGCATGCCTACATAAGGAAGTTTATACTGTCAAATACCACATTAAAATAAATCATCATTATAAATAATATCTGTGTGACCTTGGGCCAGTTACCTAACCTCTCTGAACCTCACTTTCTCAAGATGAGGGAGGAAGCAGGGAGGCTGGTCTGTGACATCCCTTCCAGCATCGTCTTCTTTGCATTGTGTCAATCTTGCTTCCCTGCAAGAGGAGTTAGAAATACTGTGTCAGAGCCAGAATGGTCAGCCTGACTGCTCCCATTTTACAGATGAAGAAACTGAGGATCAGAAACAGAAAGACTTTCCCAAGATCATATAGAAAATGACAGAGTTGGTATGAGGATAAAACAAATACTATGAAAGGCTTCTCAGAGTATAATTTTCAAAATATTAAATGCACGATTCATATAGAAATATACAGTGAGGGGCTCCCCTGGCAGTCCAGTGTCTGAGACTCGTGCTAGCAATGCAGGGGGCCTGGGTTCAATCGTGGTCAGGGAACTAGATCCCACCTGCCACAACTAAGATCAAAGATCCCAAGTACTGCAACTAAGACCCAATGCAGTCAATAAATAAATAAATATTTTAAAAAAGAAAAACATAGGGAGCATGTGTTAGTTTTCTTTTTCTGTTTATAAATGAAGGAACAAAGCTTGTTCAATGAAGGATATGAGAAAAAAAATTATATATACCTCTTTAGGGTGAGAGAGATTCAGTGAAAAAAACAATAACAAAAAAACCCCAAGAATTCTGGAATATTCATAGGTTGCTAAGGTAGTTACAAAACTGGTTAGTGCTGTTTGGGACAATAAGATCATCATGTTGGGGTTATCTACTCTACTGGAAAGAAATCATTTGCATCTCTACCAGACAAAAATAATTGGCAACTTATCAGTTTTCTACCAGCTAACAGCTATCTTTACAGAGCCTGGGCCCCAATCAATAGTAAATAATAAGTCAAGCAAAGTGACATTCCCCTGGAGTGTCAGGTGACCCTTAGGAGGGCTTGTTAGACACGACTCTAATTTGACTTTGAAAGGACACCAGTTATCTATTTGCCTTATTTCCTAGTGTTGGATGATTTCACTTATCAGGCTGTTGCAAGAGTATAAACACTTCCCAAGAAATAAAAGACATCGATAATAATGAACATATCATTAGTGAGAAAAGTAATGGGTCAGCAGTAGGCCTATGAATGTCACAGCTGGGACACCTTCATTCAGAAGAGGAGGGTGTCTTTTTCATTTTCTCCAGAGCTCAAGGTCCTGGAGGGGAAGCGAGAGTGAAGGAATGAGAGGAAACCCCTTGTCATGCTTGTGAGGTCGGGATCCAGGAGCCCCATCCCAGAGAGCAGTCAAGGGTCTGGGGGTCATCAGAGAAATAATTTCTAAATTACTCAGATTCTTTCTGGTAGAGTCGTCACCTCCCACTCAAAGGTTGCATTCCAAAATCAGCATAAGAAGCAATAATTGTCGGTGGTCAATTTTACCCTTGGAAAAAAATTCTTAGGAAAGCACCATGTTGAAGACCATATTACTGTTTCGGGATAGTTCTATGCAGCCACTTTTAGCTTTGACATTAGAACAGATTTCTAGTCCTTCAACGGAGTATCAGTTGGCTAATGTATACTCCCTTTAAAAAAAATTAAATATTTAAAGACTGGAGCTGTACCCAGTGGTGAGGTGTTTAGACCACAAGAGGCTCTGGATCTGAGGCAGACAGTGGTGGAGGTTGGGGGAGCGGTCGGCTGGCGGTGGTTAGGGGTGGGGGGTTGGAGATGGGGGGTCGGGGCCCACAGGTACATGCTACAGAATAGGCTCCTTGAGGGTCTGAAGCAAAAACGATGGACAGCAACCCTTGCCGTATTTTAATGGGTAGTTATCTTTAGTTCTTTCTCTCTGATTTTATTAGGCAAAATGCAGGTAGTCAAATGTGTATATAATATAACTCTAAAGTTCTTGTATTGCACTTAAAAACACGGAGGTATTATTTACACACAGTAAAATGCACAAATCTTAAGTGCCCGCATTCAATGGCTTTTTATGTAAATGAAGACAGCCTTTACCACACCCAGATCAAAACACAGAACATTTCCATCACCCCAGCGACTTGCCTCGTGCCTCTTGTATTACCGTCAGCCCTCAGTGTCCACATCCACCGATCCCACCAACCACAGATCAAAAATATTTGAAAAGGAATTCCAGCGAGTTCCCCCAAAAGCAAAACCTGAATTTGCCACATGCAGGCAACTATTTACTACCATTTGCATTGTATTTACAATTATTTACATAGTATTTACATTGTATTAGGTATTATAAGTAATCCAGAAAGGATTAAAAGTATACAGGAGGATGTGTGTAGGATATATGCAAATGCTACACCATTTTATAGAAGAGACTTGAGCATCCTTGGATTTGGGTCTCCAAGGGGACACAGGGATGTTCTGGAACCAATCCCCTGCAGATACCAAGGGACGACTGTATTCCCTTCTACCCGCAAAGAGACCAGCGCTTCGACCTCTCTCACCATGGGTCACTTCTACCTGTTCTTAAACTTCATGTAAATAGAATCCCTC